TAACAGCGACTGCGGTACACAGCATTTGATTATGTAGCCCATTTCCATTTGGCCATTTTTCGTTCGACACGCCTCCGCATCTGCCTTAGAATCAGACGCCGTGGCTGCTGATGTTGCAGTTGCTGCCTCTGCTGTTGCCTCTGCTGCAGGTTGCTCAATTCAATTGCAAAAATCGTCAAATATTGCCGGCGGGCGTCAATGTATTCAATTATTATTATAAGCTTTGCCTCTGATGCTCTGGTGCTGCCTGCTGGCTATTGCCTGCCGCCTACTCCTCCCCTTGGACTGTGTTTTTGGGAGCTGGAATTGATTTGGTAAATTGCTAGGAAAGCCGTGCAAATGGCCAAAACAATTTTCCAGTATTTACATAATTGCCCTCTGTTGTGAAAACCGTTTGACTTTGTAAACGTGTCTTTTTCGATTCCTTAATGCATATCGTTAGCATTTCATTAAGGGCGTGTCCCACCCCCTCCCTAAATATTGTGTTAATATTTAAATGTATTTGGCTCATAAATAAGCCAATTGGATGTTATTTGGATCAGGTTATATGTAGCTGCGAGTCATCGAACGACAGCTGCAGGTTCGCCTTTCGTTCTTTCGTTCTCTTTTAATTACGCACGAAATACAATAAAAGTTCAACTTAAACAGGTTTTACTTTCTACCTGCGATTGTTTTTGTCTTCTTTCGATTCCCCCAAATTCGTCGATTTTCTGTGCTCATTTTGACATATTTTCTACCTGGCTGTCAGGTGAGTTTCTTTTACGTCTGTCAAATTTGCTTCTTATCAGCCTTTGACTTATCTATCTGTCCTTCTGTCTGTCAACGTGCCAGTCTATAGCTCACGATGGAAGTATGGATGCTCGGCGGGTGCCTCCAAAATGCAGTTGCTCCTCTTATCTCGAGGGAGCACCTAATTGGCTGCTGACATCTGATAAAGTTGATAAGGAATGCAACAAAATATATATCGGAGGGCTGCATTCAATTGAGTTGTTAAAGTTTCACGGAAAGAGACTTAAGTTTTATGTTTAATTAACAGCTTATCGAGGCATTCTGTCAATGACCCTAACAACTGTTCAAATGTTTGAGAAAGATATAAAGATAGAGACAGAATTGGAGCAGTTGAAGATATCACTTGAAGACGGATGATGTGAAAAATAGAACCAGAAACGAACACGAAATTGATTATATATTATTTCTTCTAGCTATGTTTGCTTATATTAAATTGTATAATATTTACAAATTGAATTAGCTAATAGTAAGGAAACTTGAAAAGTCCTACCCCCCAATAAACTTTCTTAAATGTTCTACTTGGCATGAGTGTCTCACGCTCAACTCGTGTCTACATACTACACACCCACACACACACTAAAGCACCCCTCGTAGTCACGCTGTTGACATAACTTCAGCTCATTTCTGTGACACGACAAGTTTACAGCGCTGTCTGTGTAGTTGAAGTCATTTGGTTTAATTCGTCTGTCCAAATTGCTATTTATATGCATCGCCCTCGCTTTTAATTTGTGCTGCAAATCACGAGGTCCCCATTCGAGCTCCTTAGCCTGCAAGAGCCCAAGTGGCAGGCTCCGGCCTGGGGCCCAATCTGCAAACAAAATCAACAGGTGGCGGCGCATATTTCAACATAAAGCTGCCAGCCAAACCGAACCGACCGAAATATCAATAAAAATGCCATTTGCTGCGATTGCGTCGTGCCACAAAACGAACTGAGAACTGAGAACTGCCGGCCACATAGATAATTTTGCAAGCAAGACTCGAAGCTCTACTAGGGTTCTGTCTTTATATAAATATCCTAACAGAAAGCTAGAGTGCATTTCCTTATAGACTCTGTTTGAGAGTTATCTAAGTCGTTCATAACATACATATGCAAAGTGTAACTTAGTATTTATACTAATCATTGCATTTTAATATTTATTTATAATAACATAATCCCCTATTTGCTTTATCAAGATTATCTCATGTCAACTTACAAAAAGCGTAGCTAAATCTTTCCATAGTAGTGTATTCAAGTGTCGTCTACTTTGATATAAAAATGATTCTTAATTTTGTTTTCTATTTATTTTTTTTTGTTTGCATTGCATTTAATTTATTGGCAACAGTTTGCTCGGCTGCTGCATTTAAACGACAAGTGTTGCAAATAAAAAGGCAAAATTAAAGTGGTGCAAATTAGAAAAAAACAAAATTGCAGAGAGCTGGCAACTAGCAGGGACGTCAACACTAGAGGGGCTCAAGGTGCCAGCAAAAGAGAAAAACTTGTTTGCAGCTAAAAAACGATTAAAAAATCGCACAAGCCACACTGCTGTTGTTGCTATTGCCGCTCTTGCTGCTGGTGCTGCTGCTGTTGATACTGCTGGTGCATTCAGCAAGTGACTTTGGCTTGGCTTCGTCGTCGCTTAATAAAGGCAATGAGCTGAACAAACGCGGTGGGGTTTGCTTGAACGCCAAAGGCCAAAAGTGTTGGCAACACAAACAAATAAAAAGCATTGTTGCTGCTGTTGCTGCTTGCGCACAACTGCAACATGTGTAGCAAAAAGCCCAAAATGAAGACATGAGCCGCAGCAAGAGCAACTGCAGCAACGATGACGACCTTCTTTTGTAAACGCGCGCTACATAATTGCAACATCCAAAGCAGCAAAGCTAACGAGTTCGGTGCGGCCTTTTGTTACCATCTGTGTTTAAGTGTGTGTGTGAGTGTGTGTTGCATTGGCCCCTATGCCACTGACAGTTGAGAAATTAGAACGGTTTTTTGGTCTCCGCAAATCACATGCACGTGCGTCCTATGCGTTCTATGTGTAATTGGCAGCTGTTGCAGGTGTGTAAAGAGAGTGTTGCTGTTGCTGTTGCTGTTGCTGCTGTCGCTGCTGCTGCTGGTATTGCTGGTGTTGTCTGAGGTCAGCGGCAGCTGCAATCAGTTGGCCACACAGACATGCCGAGGCAATCATTGAGCCCTGTCAAGGTGTGTTTAATCAATGTTGCATTTACCTTTTTATTGTCGTACACCTCTGCATTACCTAAACACCTCCACTTGTCCCCATCGCACACATGTTGCTCATGCCGCAAAAGCATTAACGTCGGCCCATTTGCACAAATCTTAGTCGTCGTCAGCGTCAGCGTCATCATCGTCGTAGTCGTCGTCGTTGGTGTTGCTGCCATGTTTGTTGTAGTTGTTGTTGTCGTTGCTCATGGCCAGGCCTAAAAGTCTCGGCATTGTTTCTCGGACTGCGTAGGTGGATATTGGCGCATGTTACTGTTGCTGCCAGCAGCCCTCCAAGCTGTTGCTGTTGCTGTTACCATTGATTATTGCCCCTCGTTCGACGCGTAGAAATCGCAACGCTTCAATCTCCGCTTAAACTTGTAAATTAAAACCTTAATGAGCCTGTACGAATTGCTTTGGGTGCTCTGAACGTCTGCAGCCCATGCTGTGTCGAGGTACACGCATTGCTCAACTAAAATTTATGCTCTGCTTCGTATGTATCTGCACATTTCCAATTTTATTTGCAAGAAATAAGAAGGCATTGACTCACATTGAAGTGCATGCAGGGAGGAAATAATATTTTAAGCATTTTCATGCCAAAATGAAGTCGAAATCGTCCAGGTTATTTTTGGATAAACTTTGAAGAAATTACTTTTCTCTCTTTTTGAGAAAGCCTTAAATTAAGTATCGTTATTCTGACTAAAATATGTTGAACTTATTTTTAGTAGGAAACTTGTTAATTTAAGTATTTTGCATACAGAAAAATAATAGTTTGCATGCAAATGCTTCTAATTATAATGCAATTCGAGTTCCAATTACATTTTTTGTGCTGCTGTCAGAGTCACAGAGCGGCGATAGCTGTTGCTGCAACTGTTGCAGCTGCTGCTCTTGCTGTTGCTGTGGTTGTTGCTGTAGAAGGAGCCAATAGCGTGTCAGCTGACACGTTTTTAATTTTCAAGCAATTAGTTTTTTGTTTCTCTGCTATCCAATGCCAATCAGGGACCACAAGCACACACACGAAAATCACCTGAGTTTGGTAGCTCTCAGGGAGCAGGTGGGCTGGGAAGACTGGGAAGTATTGTAAAGTATCTTAGCCTACCCGCATTGTCGATTAACTTAAAATGATTTCATTGCTAATTAATGCGCTGTGAATTTTCTCACGCTTCGCCAGCGAATACTAAAAACTTGTTATTCTCCTTCGACCGCACTCAGGCAGCAAAGTGTAACACACACTAAAGAGTCTTTTTAAATATTTTTCCATTTTTTGCCATTCTTTGCTTGACTTCCTCAACAAGATTTGCATAGTTAGTTAGTCGCATGGCAGCTTCATTCAATTAAATGGTTTGGTGTTTGGCCAAGCTCTCGCGATTAAACAGTAGATGTTTTAATTAAGTACAGTACAGTACAGTAAGTTACAGTAGATGTTTTAATTAATTAGTTATGCCTTTTGCTGCATAAAATACCAACCTTATAGATAGGAATGCGCTTTATAACTCGGCTATATCCGTTTTGAAAGTGTCAACAGCTGCAGCAACAGGTTTGCCAAGAGTTTGACAGACCGCCGTAATGTAAATTACGGCTTTGTTTTCAGATGTGTTTTCAACGGTATAATTGCATATATTTTTATTTATAGATATCGATTTATTTTGAATTGTTGCACTCTTGCTTAGATTTGCTTTTAATTGCTATGCATTACGAGACAAACTTCGCAGGCTTGGCAGTTGCAGCCAGATCTAAGCACATCTGTGCACATCACAACAAAGATGATGAACCCATACACTCGCATACGCACACACTCAATACACGGCTTTAAACGACTCCGATTTCGATTTCCACTCTTCGAGTTGCGACTGCGACTGCGATTGCGACGTTCGCTTCCGCTGGCTAAGCGTAAACGACTAAAAGCGGCCACATAAATTTCAATAGGCCAGGCAGTCAGCCAGCCAAGCAGCCAAGCAGCCACACAGCCAGGCAGAGGCAGGCAGTCACACAGGCAGCGGCTGTTCGGCTGCTCGCTGTCATGGCAGCAGCAACAGCAACAGCAACAGCAACAGCGACGTCGTACTGTGGTTTAATGTTGCAGCTAAAGGTATTTCATCATAAATATGACTTATGTTGTTACAATTATAATGATTCTCCTTTAAATTATTTTAGTTTAATCTCTTTTTTAAAATAATAATGTAAGAAACATTTGATTTATTTTTAGTTTTATCATTTCATTATGATAAAAAGTTTTATTAGTGTTCTCTTGACATTTACTATTAATACAATCTATACTCTAATTTTCTTATGTATAAATAGGATATATGATCATTTTTTGGATTATATTAATGGTTACAAGACTACTAAAAGTAATCGTATTTAATATTTGTGTGATTTCAGCTGAGTTCATTAACTGCTGAATCACTGTGCAACTGACAACCAGTTTCCATCCATTCACATGGACATTGTTTGTGGAACGTAAGTAATACCGTCTCTCACTGTTGGTCGCGGGTGTTTCGTATGTGTGTTAGTCTCTTCGTCTGTGCTGTGTGTGTGCCCGTGAGTATGTGTATGTGAGGATCCCATAGCGAGCCATGGCATGGCAAACTGGGTATTCCAGCATCCACAGCAGCCAATCAGAGTCCACGTCAGCCACCGCGCCTTATCTTCTCTAATGATAACAAGTTTTTTTTACGATATCAAACGGCAGATTCATAAATTTTATGTAGCACTTGTTGGTCTAAGCGTAAGAGCTTCTAATTGATAATTTCTCTACCTGCTTAAATGTTCATATTACTTTTAATTAATTGATAGCTTCAATTTGACTTGCTCAACAGTGGGTTGAGTTGTGTTTAATGAAACTAGACTGCATCGTAAAATATTGCAAAAGGTTTTATGGGTAGTATTTTATATTCGTCGAAAATGTAAAGTTGTAGTTGATGGATGATCACTTAAATATAATTAAAAAAAAAAAAAATTAAAGTTTTTGCTCTTATTTCAGCAATTCAGATTTAACCAAAAATCCAATTTACGGCTTACCCTTAAGTGAGCTCTCGCGATCTTAAATTCTTGAGTGAGTACGCTGTGCTGTAACTAAAAACTAATGTTGAATGTGGCCAATTCATTTGGTGACACATGTTCATCTAGCTGAGCACTCTGCCAAGTTTTTGGTTAGCGCCAATAATTAATTAAAAGTGCATTAAAAATGCTCGTGTCACACACTCTGAGCCATGTTGCCGCCGAAGTGGCCGACTCTGCGAGTTGTCAAGTCGGAGAAGCGCACTGTGAATTCTCTGGCAAATGCCAAATAGCAGCAACAACTGGCAGCAACAACAACAGCAACAACAACAACGCAACTTCAACAGCTGCGAGAGCAAATCTTTTCCACTTTTGCACAGCTCCAAAGTATTTACAAGCATCGTTCGCAGTCGCATCTAAAAATGTTTGGCATTTGGCAACACGCACCAATGAATAAATAGCAGGAACTCTACGAGATGGGCAGGATAGGTGCAGGGAGTGATAGAGAGGGGAGAGGGGGCGTGGTTGGGGCCAATATGTGACGGCTAGAAGGCTGCTAAAATGTTTGGATTTCAAACGAGCTCATTTTTCGCGTGCGTGGCTGCATTTGGAAATGATTTTCAATGCAGCTGGCTGGGTGGGTGAAGTGGGGCATCCTGGTGATGGTGGAAGTGCAGTGGGTAGCAGGAAATGAAAGGCGGTTATAGTTAAGTCTACCCGCTGTTAGCTGAACTCGAGCAGGCAAGCGTAACATGTCGGCGACCGCAGACGGCGTGACGCGGATGAGGGATGAGTTATAGAGGCGACCACGCGTGAATCCAAATCGGGATGTGATGTGATGTGAGTGCTTTCAGTGCGTGTGTTGGTGTATGTATTGGTGTGTGTGGGTGTGAATGCTGCACAAAGGCAAACTATAACATTGCTCATAATTTATGACAAGACGCTAAAGCGCTGCCTGATAAGCAACAAAACAACTGAAAGCTGGCCCCAATGCAATTCGCCCAAAAACCTTTTTGCTGGCCACATTTCCCAGCTGCAACATTATCAACGGCAGCAGCAGCAACATCTTCAGCTCTAGCACATTCACGAAGTGCACACAGAAGCCGAACTTGCTACGAAGCGTTGTTGTTGTTGTTGCTGTTGCCACGCGGTTCTGCGTGCCACACGTTGTGAGCTGCTGTTGCTGTTGTTGCGGCTGTGCCTGCTGCTTCTGTTTGCTGACATCCACGTGCAACTCGTTGCTGTGCGCCGCATCAGTTGGCAGCGTGTTTTTTGTCGCCGCGTCGACGCCAGCAGCAGCGGGCGACATGGCAACATCATCGAGTTGCTCGCGTTCGCCCCACCAACAGCAACTGGAATGTTGTCGGAGGCAAATGTTGCCAAGCTGTCACAGCACAAATAGAACGAGAGATTTGATCTGGAAAGAAAGCAAGAGAGAGAACAGGAGAGTTGAAGAATGTGGAATAGAAATATGTTATTGTATTGCTGTTGCTAAAGAAACCTAACTACCATTGTTGTTGTAATTATTTTTTAATCGTATCTTGATCAGAATTAATTAATTTTAGAGAGTTTTTGTTGATAAGCTTTTTTTGTTGGTAAGCATCTTCCCCAAATTGAAATCTATCCAATTGAGTATAATATATTTATTTAATATCTCTCAGATGATAACTCTTTCATGTTGCATAAATCTTTTGAAGGTTGTTTCTCAATTTCTGTACATCAATTTCTGTACAACATCTTTACACCTGTGTTTCATTCACGGATTCAGCTTGTAAATCAACTCTCATTAAGTGTTGAGCTCAAGTGCGATTGTGACTTATTAGTTATATATCCGTCTGAATATTTGCAAGACTATCTTGTCTATGTCAAATTAGTAACTCTTGTTTTGGAGTCTACAATTTAAGTAATTATGTGTATATATGAATATATCCTTAGCTGTATTTTCCCACCTGCTTATCTTCGACACATTCATCTTCAGATCCATCTGTCATAACACGTGCGTCAAAAGCCATTTGCTGAAAATTAATGATTCCTTGCTAATGAACCCAGATTTGACAGAGTTGAAAAATCACTAAAGACTGGCAATCAAAGCAAAGTTGAGTTTCTGCCTCAAGTGGCTTTTGTGGCGCAATTAGCATGTGTAATTGGCATTCTGTGGCACATGGTGAATCATTAGGAGGCACCCAGAGGGTGCAACATATTTTTGGGCCAGCAGCTAATTGCTTGCTGTGTTGCTGTTGCTGTTTTGTTGTGTGGCATAACGGCGAATGAGGAAAGGGGCGTGTTGCATTGCCGCTTAAGAGCGACAACAAATGCGCCCCTAAATGGCACTTGCAACATGCTCTTGAGGCGTGCGCTTCATTTGGAAGGTATCAATTAAAGTGCGAGCGAAATAAATGCAAAATTGAGAGGCGCAGCGCGAAAAAAGTGAAATTTCAATTAATCATCGCGAGGCGAGGAGCGGATGGGGCAGGCAAAAGGTTCAGTTCACACTCTTGGTTCTGGTCTGGTCTGGCCAGGCGATAAGATCAAAAGATCAAGCTGCAAGTTCAACATTTGGCAACGCTGTCTTAAAATTCGTGTTGCCATTGTTTGCAGTTGCTGGTTGGTGTTGTTGTCGCTGGTTGGTGTTGCTGTTGCTGCTGCTGTTGGGGGCTGTGGCACGCGCACTGCGCCGGCTCAGGTCAAAAGCGTGCTGCTTGGAAAACGGTAGCCAGCAGGAATTGCAGCATGCAACATGTCGCCGTACTGCCGCATGATAAATGTGCGCTCATAGAATCTCTGAATGGTTTTTTGTCCGCTGTGCTGGCTCATATTGCTGTGGTTGCCATGTTGTCAAGTGTTGCTGCCACAGCATCTGCTGCTGCTGCTGCAGTTACTGCTGCTCTCAACTTAATGTTGACAATTTAGCGCAACATTTATTTGCCATGTTATTAAAAATTTGCAACGCTTTCATGCAACATTTGCTGGCGCAATTAGCTGCATTTATAATTGGGGTACGTGCTTCATGAAAAAAATAAAAATGCTTTGGTTGTCTTCATTTCATGCGGCTTCCCATATATTTTTGTTATTTTTTTTATTTTTGGGCAGTCTGCTACATGTTCGAACGCTATAAATCAATTTGGCGGAAGAGCTGTCCAAAGCGAAGGCATGCAAAAATACATGGCCAAAGGAGTTCGACTTTTAAGACATTTAGGTACGCTATAACCGAGCTGAGGGCGCATGGAAAGTCGATCCAAACTACTTTATAAATGCAGCTTATAAAGATAAGATAGAATCGAAAATATAAACAAAAGATGATATATACATTGACAACAGAATCCTCTTTCACATAAAATACTTCTATCAATATTAACAAATATACATTTTAGTAACTTTTGAGAGATAATGCCATAAGGCTGGGAATACGAAATACAATATACAAAAAACAATGCGAATTAAAATTTTATCGACAACAATGTTGCGGTCGGCAAGCAATAAAAATTGTTACGGTGATGAACGACATGACACCAGCAGCAGCAGCAGCAGCGGCAGCAGCGGCAGCGGCAGCAGCAACAGCAACATGCAACAACAACAGCCGATTGACCGCAGCAACAAGCTACAACAACAACAGCAAAATTTTGTCGCTGTTGCCAGTGGAGCGCATCGCGAAATTCTTTCTTTCCTTTTTTTTTTTTTAGCTCTTTGTGTGTGTGTGTTACTCTTTTTCTTTTTTGGGAGGATTTTGTTGGCTGCTAAACTCAAAATGAGAAATTGCTGCCGCTGGTGCAATTTTCATGGTTGACCTCATTTTGCTGCTGCTGTCGTTGCTGTTGACTTTGTGGAATATTTTGTGGCAGTAGCAGCAGCAGCCGCAACAGCAACGCATCAGAACAACTCGTCAGTCAGTCAGTCAGTCAGACAACATGAGGCAGTCACGTCAGCGCCTGTGACAATTTGTCGCTAAACAATTTTTGGACCGACAAAATTGTAAGTTGATGTTGATGTTGCTCTTGTTGTTGCTGCCGTCGCATGCTGTTGCTCGGTCCCTGCATGCATGAAAATTCAATAAATAAAAATGTAATTACGTGTTGAACAGCTGCAGCGACAATTTGATGGATGAACAGAGCCTAAAAGTATAGCTGCTCATGTACAAGAGCCAAGAGCATGAAAGCCATTTAGAGCTATGTGCTAACAATTGAAACGAACATTCGAATGCCTGCTAATCCGATGTGTCAATATTTGTTAACGCTTCGAGTTCAAAGGAATATGTTGATATCCTGCTGGCACTTGCCACCTAGCCTGCATCAACAGCAAGCGTTCAGCAACAATTGCGCACTACGCAACAGAAATTGCCTACTTAGCTCACTGCTGAATGTTTCTACACAAAACTACGTCGAGACCTGTATTGAGTGCTCGAAGTGAAAGAGAAAATGCGTCTGACTAACAAATACCCAGTTGAGGAGACTATTTTAAATCAG